CCAAACACACGTTCAGACAATGACATTACAAAATTAAAATTAATTCAGTTTCATTTATATAGCGCCACATCACAACAACAGTTGTCTTTCCAAACAGAGCAGGTCAGACCTACTCTGAAGTTAATTACAGAAACCCAACAATTCCCACCATGAGAAAGTAAGTAAGTAAAGTTTATTTATATAGCACCTTTCACAGACATCAAAGGTCACAAGGTGCTTCACAGAAGTGCACAATTATACATCAAGATAAAACAACAAAATGTAATAAAAACCATAACTACATAAAATAAAAACCATAACTACATCAAACAATAAAATGTAATAAAAACCATAACTACATCGAATGCACTGGAACTGTTAAAAAGATTTGCAAAAGAGATAGGTTTTAAGTTGATGATGAGTTAAATGAGCAGCACTAGGCGACACAGGGAGGGAAAAACTTCCTTTAACAGCAGAAACCTGGAGCAGAACCATCATCTCTCTCTCTGATTGGTCGTCCCGCAGCCATGAGCCACCTGAATGGACAGAAGGTGTTCGGGAAAGTGATGAGAGTGACTCTGTCCAAGCACCAGACGGTGGCTTTGCCCCGGGAGGGCCTGGACGACCAACTGCTGACCAAAGGTGACCAAAAAACACAACTAGTTTCATAAATTTAGTCTGATAAGGGTTTATTTAAAAGGATAATACAACCCTAAACCCCTTTAAAGCCTGAAAGTATAGAACAGTATAGAATTTTTAACTGGGTAATAAGTCCAAATTATTGTTTTTTAGTCTTCTATCTGCTCTTATGAGTAGATCTGATTGTGTGAAACAGGGTTTTAACCAAAGTTTTTACTATTAAATGATGCAAAAGGTTTGGGATGCAAAACATTTTTAGAAACTGATTGGCAGGAAACAGCCTTTAGCCTGTTTTTTTATTCTGTTGAGGGTTTATTTAAAAGTACCTTTAAATACTAATACAACCTTATCCCCTTTAAAGCCTGAAAGTATAGAAAAAATAGCAAAAATGTATTTTTGTAAGTCTTTTTTTTTGCCCTTTTCACAAATTATGGGGGGAAAAAAGAACAATTAAAAAAAAAAAATCTTTATTTTTTACTGGGCAATAAGTCAAAATGATTGTTTTTAGCCTTTTATCTGCTATCATTTATTTTACTAATAAATTATGCAAAAGGTATTGGATGCAAAACATTTTAGAAACTGTCAGGAAACGCCCAGTTCCCCAAATTTAGCCTGTTTTTCAGTCTGTTAAGGGTTTATTTAAAAGGCTAATACAACCTTAACCCCCTTTAAAGCCTGAAAGTATAGAAAAAATAGCAAGAATTTATTTTTTGGAGTCTTTATTTTGCCCTTTTCACAAATTCTGAAAGAAAAAATAGCTAATTTTCAAGTATTCTTAATTTTTTCTGGGAAATAAGTCAAAATTGTTGTTTTTTACTCTTCTATCTGCTCTTATTAGTAGATCTGAATGTTTGCAACAGGGTTTTAAGCAAAGATTTACTATTAAATGATTTTAGTTGGTTGAGGGTTTATTTAAAAGTCCCTTTAAATACTAATATGATTAATTAAATTTATTTTAATTTTTAATTAAATAAAATAAATACTAATTATGATTAAGCATGTAAAAGCCTGATACAATTAATTTTTTTAAGTCTTTATTTTGCCCTTTTCACAAAATAGGAAGAAAAAAATAACTGATTTTTTAATATTCTTCATTTTTTACTGGGCGATAAGTCAAAATAATTGTTTTTAGTCTTCTATCTGCTCTTATTATTATAATCTGAATGTGTGAAACGGGGTTTTAAGCAAAGTTTTTACTATTGAATGATGCAAAAGGTCTCAGATACAAAACATTTTTGAATTTTGAATATATTCCAAAGCCACAGAAAAGTGATGTTTACAAGTTTCTGGATTTCATTGATTTGTATGTTGATCTACAGAAAAATACTTAGTTTTATAACCCTAATTAATTAAGTCCCTTTAAATCCTGACGGTGTGTGTTGTTGCCGGGCAGA